GCACATGGGGTGTGTGGAAAATCACCAACAACGAAAAGCAGATGGGAAGAATAATCGGTGCATGAAATCTGAAGTCATGAAGTTATCCCAAAAATCCTGATTCCTTATTGATATCTGATGCCTTCTTACTTGTTCGCGATATAGTAAACTGAAGAGGTAGACGATAGAACTTAACGCGAACGAAAGTGCTGTCCACAGTAAACTCGTCTCCGGCAAAGCAGTAAGGCAATGGCGTCTAAGAAAGCAGATATGGAGCTTGTCAACTCTAAGCTCCGCCCAATGCTTACCTCATAACAAATGTTAAGACACATATAGCTGTGACTACCAGACTAATGATTGACAAAACAAAAAGTGCTGTGGAGGCGGATTCTCGATCAGTCTAAAACAACAATTCACATGGAAACGTGAAAAAAAGAGGGACCTGAACTTTGCCCACCTGCTTGATCCCTTGTCCAGCAGCGCAGATGGGTATGCACCGCCCACTTCGATTTACATAGATATGTTCAGGTGGACATTCTTCTTTCTCTTCTTCTGGAGTCTTGGCGATTACACCTTCCTCATTTGGTCCTCGCATACACATATCCTCATTATTGTTTTCTAGAGAAAAGTTCCATTGTAAACAAGCAAACATATCTAATAGTAATCTATGAATCGAGATTTTGTTTGTACTAACTGAGATTTTTGCATATTTTCGGTAATTTTACACCCATCCGCTTGCTTTCATAGTAGTACTCTCACCTAAAATAAACTTGTTGCAGTCGATTTGCGTTGGCCATGAAAAACCAAAATCCTTCAAAAGTGGCAAACATTTGTCCCTTACAGACTCGCAAAGCGGCCGACATGGACCTATGGGTTGTGGAATCTGCAAATCACCAGTAATGGTAGGATCTAATTAGCACCGAGGAAAAAAGGTTTACCTTTTCATTGCACATTGGGAAGTAGACGGAGCACAGGAAGAACCGCAATTGTTCACTACATTGACTATTGATAAGCGGTTGAAACGATGCCAAAGTATCCTGAGCATCCCGTGCGGATTCATCACCGGCTAGATTTGGAAATCTAAAAGCAACAGATTTAACATGAAACTGCAAACTGCTCCCTAGCCTGTCCTATTGGACCACAGATGGCCAGCTGGTCATAGCATAGCGTGCCCGACCACGTAAGCCTATCGTCGTCTCACGGCTGTTCTGAGTCTATTGTATACGCGGTTTTTGATTAATAGCTGCACCATACGCTCAGCACGACAACCCGGACAAAGACCCATCATTAATTACAGGGCGAGTTGCGAGTTAAACCCGAGTTGCGAGGCGATTTGTTACATTTTCAAAGGAAAAACTGTTCCGCAGAAAAACCTTGCGCTAACTCATCCTTTCGTAATGGAAGGTTCATAAAAACGCGCTAAAATAATGTTTATAAATGTCTGCGATCAATAAAAGCCTCTACCTAAGAGCCCCAGAAGAAAATGGATAGAAACGCAGAGGTCAAAAAAGCGCAACGGAAAAAATAACAAGTTACTGCTGCGGTTATGCTACATTTCAATGTATTCTTTGGTTACTGTAAAAATCCGCTTGGGTACCAATTCATGCACCAGGTACCGTTAAAATATAGCAGCCAAAACTGTCGTAATACCGTTCTTTTAGCATTCTGCCAAAACCTAGATGGCATGGCTAAATCTCGAAAAACCGTCAAAGAAAAGAAAACATATTTTTTGATTTTGGAAATGTAGGATTGACAATTTTCAGAACAATAACGTAAACTGTCCAGCAACGCGGATACATAGATGCGCAGAGGTGTATGCATACTTCCTTGTTATAGATCTCGCAACCCACAATTTTAAAGCCAAATCAAAAGGTTTTTTAGGGTTTTTGTACCACGATATATCCTACCTTATCACTGAGCCCTTGATTCTACCTACCGTAATTCCACCATATACCGTAATCCTCGTCACAATGTCGTTAATTAGCGCGATCAAGCAATGAACGAGCTCGTAATGCGCTATTTCGCCGACCGCGCTGGCGTAGACACTTAAGCGCGGTCGTTAACAACAACGAGAATTGCCTCACAGCTTAGCGGCGCGATTACGGTAGACCCCATATCGCAACCTTCAAAAGCCATTTAGA